AAGTTAGAGAGGCAAGTCAGGGACTGGATTCTCTCTGCATGGCCCACCTGTGCTACCTCTCATAGCATATCTGTGTCCTTTTTTACTATGACCCATTTTCCAATTCACTTACAACTGACCAATCCTCTCTGTTTTTCTCAGATTAGTTTTCACAACAGAGATAGGACTTGAAGGCTGACTAGGGAATGACATCGACAGAGGCAGACAGTGATCTGTTCGGCGCGGAAGGGCCTGGGGAGGAAAATAATGTTGGTAAGGCCAGGAAGAGCTCAGGGTGTGATCGTTGGGGACCTTTACTGCCAAAGTTGATCTCCTAGGCATGCTTTACCTAGCGGGGAATGGAGAGACACAGAAGTTTTTCTTAATCAAAGAAATGACTTAACGAAAGCAGTCTTTTAAGTAGCTTGACCAGGCCGCAGTGTGCAGGGCAGAGCAGAGAAGCCAGGGAATGCAGGCTGGCGGAGCAGGGAGAAGCACAGTAACCTCGGCCTGAGGCGCCATGCCTGCTTAATTCTAAGACACTATTGACTTAAGAGATTTTGTAATAAAAACTACATTCAACGTATACATTGATTAAAAATAAATCTTGAGTTTAGGTATGTAAAAATCACAAAAATATAGGCCTCTCTGAGTTAGGGAAATAAGAGGATGAAGATTTGAATGAATTAAGGTGGTGACAGTAGAAATGGGAGGGGTAGGTTAACACGCTTTGTTAATACTACTGTGTCTATTATTATGCATGGCCCTGGTGCTGGCTCTTTTCACGGGTAGTAGATAGGCAGCTCTTGGGTAGTTTACCCATGTACACTGGTAGTGTTTTCTTTCTTTATCTTAGGAGTGTTCACTTCATGAAAATTCAGAATTCAACACATGCTTACTATGTGTGAGGTTTCTTCATACTTCAATTAAAAGTTTATTTTAAAAAGTTGTGCCAAACTGATCTTTTTTTTGGAAGCTTTTATCAAACTAGTACAATTGAAGAATGTTATAGACATTATATATCTTGATTGTAAAGAATATATCTTTAAAAATCTCTTAAGATATTTATGTGAGCAATACAGAGAGATGTGGGCTGGATAATAGAAGAATTATGGGAATCCCTTACTAGTGGAACAACTTACCCCAAAATTGATGATTGAGATCAACCTGAAGATAGGTTTATATCATAACGTGTAAGGGCTCTGCTTATGATAGGGAGGTGGCTAAACACGTGGGATCAAGGGCTGGGCTCATCTGCTTAACAGCTGTGGGAACTTAACTCTCCGTCTGTGCTTGTCTTCCTATCTATAAAATGGGTATGATGGAAGTTGTATCTTGGCATTGTTAGGAGTACTAAGTTTATGTAAAGAAGGTGTTTATTATAATAGTAGGCTACTAATACTAGAATTTATAGGAAGGCAGTGTACTTTATAATTAAATCACCAAATAAAAGAGCAAGAAAAATCCCTGTTAGAAGAAAAGTTCTCTAAGTGGCCAGATGAACACCTGTCAGGGATACTGTAGAGACATCTCCTTCTTTGATGAGAAGATTGGATTAGATGATGTTTTAAGGTCTAGGATTCTTTGATAGTCTAATTATGCCCTGAATGCCAGGATTTATAATTCTGCTTATGAAACAATCTATAGAAAAACCTAATTTTATTATACTACAAAGCTATAAGTACTTCATTGAAGCTTGTAGAGCCCTCAGATTAAAGTCAAAAGAAATCAGACAAATCAGCAAACTCTATGACTTAGGGAGATTTTTGGTGTGTTAATTCATTCTTTCAAATAACAAGTAACAGAGTCCAGAAATGTAACATTATTTACCCATAGGAAAGTGATTCCAAAAAGCTCAGAGAAAATACCTCCTATAGCTACTTGCTATAATTTTATCTCAAGAGGACATAGGGGGAAATTCTTGAAAGAGGATAATTTCATTTAAGGTTAAATGATTCCATAAATGCAGAACTACTTGACTATATATGGAAATATAAAATTCTCAATATTGGTCAAACACAGAACCTTCAAGTGCACAAATTCTTGAAATTATATTACCTATTATTAAAAGTACTTATATTTCTAGTTATATTTTTCCTACTATAATCTTAGACAATACGTTTAAAAAGCATATTGTACTTATACTATGCATACAAAAACATGCACAGGAGCCCTGGCTGGTGTGGCTCAGTGGTTGGAGTGTCATCCCGCAACCAAAAGGTTGTGGGTTCGATTCCCAGTCAGGGCACATGCCTAGGTTGTGGGTTCCCCTCCGGTCCAGGTGTGATGATACCCGGTCCTGGTGTGGATCCGCAGTCTGGGTGTGACAGGAGGCAAACAATCCATCCTTCTCTTACATCTATGTTTCTCTCTTTCCCTTCCTCTCTCTTCCTAAAAAAGCAAATAAAAATGTCCTTGGGTGAGCATTAAAAAAAAAGTGCGCATATCTTAAGAGTACAACTTAAATGTTTAAAAACTAAACATGCATTTAATAAACAGTAAGATTAAGAAATTGACCATTAACATTTAAAATTTTTTAAAATTTTTATTTATTTAGTTTCAGAGAGAGGGGAAAGGAGGGAGAGAGAGAAATATCGATCGGCTGCCTCTTGCATGCCCCCAGCTGGGGACCTGGCCTGCACCCAGGCATGTGCCCTGACTGGGAAATTGAACCAGCAATGTTTTTGTTTGCAGGCCGGTGCTCAAATCACTGAGCGACACCAGCCAGGGCTTAACATTGTTTTTGAAATTAATTTTTTTCTTAACTTGAAGAGAAGAAAATTAATGTTCTATTCTGGGTATATGGAGGTATATGTAACTTCAAAAGTCATATGCCCAACTTGAACATCTCCTGGGACTTTTAATACCACTTGTGGTAGGCAAAGTAGTAACTGCCCAAAGATGTCCACATTTTAATCCTTGGAACTTATGAATATTTCCTTATATAGCAGAAGAGACTTTCGAGATGTGATTAAATTAGGATTCTGAGGTGGGAAGATGATCCTGAACTACATGAGTGGACCCAATGTAATCACAAGGGTCTTTTTAAGTGAACAAGGGAAGCAGGAGAGTCAGAGAGGGATGTGTATGTACGTATCTGTGTGTGTGTGCATGTGTGTGCGTGCGTGTGTGTGTGTGTTTGAGAGAGATTTGACATATAATATTACATTTGTTTTAGATGTATAACACAATAAATCAATATATATATACAGGTTTGGGTAAAAGTAGGTTTACAGTTGTTCATATGGAAAATAATACAATAGTTAATACATAATAATACAAGAATAAACTGTTTCACATACCCACAACTGTAAACCTACTTTTACCCAAATGATCAACACAGTAAGTCTTGTTAACTAACCTCCATCACCCCACATAGTTACAAATTTTTTTGTGTGTGATACCTACACTGCTACATTGATTTTAGCCCTATGAAACCCATTTCAGACACAATTGTGTTTTTCCAAGACACTAAGTTTGAGGTAATTTGTTACAGCAACAATAGGGAACTTCACTATGGTATGGTGAATGTGTGTGCAGATTCATATGTTTTATTGCCTGTTTGGTAGCTATCTGATAGGTATCTCAAACATAAGATAGGCCAAATTAAAACTACTTTAAACTCCCCAAACCTGGTCATTCCCCTGGTGTTTCTCATCTTGGTAAATGGCACCAATCACCCAATTACTAATGCCAGACACCTGGAAGTCATCCTTGTTTCCTCCTTTTTTTGCTATCCCCTCAGACCTAACCCATAATTAATTTTCATTAATTCCACTTCCAGACTAAATCTCATATCCATCCACTTCAATTGAGTTTCACTGCCACCATCTTTCAATTAATTTTAATTTATTCTCTTTAATACCAAATATGTGCATATACTACAAAATACAAAATATATTTTAAATAGGAATTTAGAGAAAAGTCCGACTCTTCCCAGTCCCATCAGGTGCAGTCAGCGTGGTACCACATTACACATCCTTCCAAAGACCGCTATCGTTCTCGATCCAATCCATTGTCCACACAGTAACCACAATGATATTCGATAAAGAACCCAATGGCACTTTTTTGGTACAAAACCCCTTAATTTTGGTCCTTTTGTGCCTGATGTGACCTTTTAGTGGCCCCAAGCTAGCTGCAGGGGAACTAACGATTAATGTCTTATGCAAATTAAGCTTTGTCATTAATTGAAAAATCAAGTGCAAAAATTTGATTTGATATGATATTCACCGTATGTAAGAACTTTCAACGAGTTGTTAGACTGTTTAATTTCACCTGTGGTTGTAAAAAAAAAGTTTTAATGTTTTGTTATCCCCAACTCAGTTTCTCTGCGATGACTCAGGAGTTTGAAACAATCATTTAAGAGTCTTCATCAGGACCTGTGAGAACGTTTTCCCACCACTCTGTGCCACAGCTGTGTTCCTCTCTGGCTGTCCCTGGGCCCGGACTGGCTGAGATTTCTCTTGCAGGGGAGGCCCAGACGGAGCTCCTTAAAACGATCAGCTAGTATTTGCCATCAGAGCCTTCTAGCAGTCGGGGTTCTGGACTGGCAAGGCTTAACTCCGGAGACGCTTCTGGGTGGACAGGCTACACGACAGTATTGTTCTGGCCACGCCTGTGAAATGACTCAGGGAACGGCAGGCCGAAACAAATGCCCCTTGGGAAAACTCGGATTTCCGAGCGGTCATGTGGCCGGCGAGCGAGAAGAAGGGCCGGTGACACCAACACCGCCGCCACCACCTAGAGCGCTTTGCCCGCTCTGCTCCCGCCCCTCTTGTCAGGAAAGCTACTGGGAGAAGGTGGGGCATAGAAAGGCACAGCCAATCACAGGATTCATCTCAGGTGACGTAAGGGCCAGCTCGTCGATACGATGCTTGGGGTGGGTGTGCCGGGGGGCGGGGGGCGGGTGTAGAGCAGGGGTCGAGCGACGAGTCATCGACTCTTGGGAGTTGCGGAAGCCGGGGGGCCGGGCTTGCGCACTGCCTGCCTGGTGGCGCTGCCTACGGCTCTCAGTCGAGGCGTGGCAGCAGCGTTGGCAGCGTTGGCGGCGGCGACGCGGGCGGGAGCGAGCCGGACTACCTACTGGTGAGAGCCACGCGTCCGTCGGGGACTCGGGGGGCGGGCTTGGGGAGAGCATCCTCCCGGCTTCTAGGGCCTCCTCCCCCGGCCCCCAGTACGCGGCTTTGCAACGCGTTAAACTCCACGGCCCACACCCGAACCGGGCCGCTGTCTCCCGCTGGCCTACACGCCAGGGTCCCTCTTTAGTCCCGTTATAGGCCCCACTAAGTGGCGGGTGGAGCAGACAGGTTCAGTGCGGCCCCCGGCGAGTAACCGGGAAGTTGGGGTGGGGGGCGGTGTCAGAGAGTGTCCCGACGTGACACTATCCCACGACAGTGCTTTCAAGTAATAAAACGGGCTGTCCTGAAAGATAATGTCCGTTAACACAGTTGTGCAAGAGAGGACAGAGAACTACTTGGCAGGCAAGTTGCTCTGGATATAAAGGTTGAACTAAAAGATTATTTACAAAGTCTACGCCCAACCCTGACTACATTCTTAGTCTGGGTTTCCTTGGAAGTTTGATATGCATTTATTTCACACACACACCCCCGCCCCCATCCTCAGCACACTTGTAAAATGGTTACAGCACGAAAAGGTATTCTTTGCCCCTCTGATAGAGAGGGCTGAGGTACAGCTTAGCACTATAGATAACTGGTTAATCCAATTTAAGAAGCCCTGAGAAAAGCCAAACCCAATGATGGGTCAGGAACAGGGTTCTGCATTTCTGACTACCTTTTACATAGTCCCTTCCTTCTTTTATTCCTGTGAGTCTCATCCCCTTTGCACTGAGGGAAAAGTGATGCACAGCAGTCCCCCTTTATCCATGGGGGACCTGTTCCAAGTCCCTCAGTGGATGCCTGAAACCAGCAGATAGTACCTGACCCTATATGTACTGTATTTTTTCCTATGTATACACACCTGTGATGAAGTTTAATGCCTTTTCCAAAGTTCTTATGCACTGTGGCCTTAACTTGTGCAGTTTGAGGTGTGAGAGCAAAACCAGCACGATTTTTCCCCCTTCTCCACAATTTCATACAACAGAAGATTCATTCTTATTGCAGCAAGCTCATGGTATGGTTTTTTTTCTTTCGTTAAGTTTAGAACTTTCACGTTTTCACTTAAAGGAAGTACTTTACAGGTATTCTTCAGCATATTTGAACTGCCAGCAGAATCATTACTCTTACCCTTTGGGACCATTATTAAGTAAAATAAGGGTTACTTGAATACAAGCAGTGTGATACTGTGACTGTCGTTTTAATAACAGAGACTACTATTAAGTGACTAATGGCTGGGAGCATATATATCATATGAGGCTGAACGAAGGGATGAGTTACATCCTAGGCAGGACAGAGTGGGATATCGTGAGATTTTATCACTCTACTGAAAACCGTGAAATTTAAAACTTAAGAATTGTTTATTTCTGGAATTTTCCACTTAATAATTTCAGATCATGGACGACTGAAACTGCAAAAAGTGAAACGTCAGATGAGAGAGGGGTACTACAGTATCATTGTTCTCATGGCAGGACCAGGCACAAAAAGTTCTCACTCAGGGATGTTTATGAGATCAAGGCAGACACTGGATGTGGGCAGTGTTCTGAATGCTGGATTTGAATTTTTTTTTTTAATTTAACTTTATTTATTTTTATTTTTTAAAGATTTTTTTATTGATTTTAGAGAGAGAGAGGAAAGGAGAGACAGAAACATCCACCTGCTGTTCCACTCACCTATGCATTCATTGGTTGATTCCTGCACATGCCCTGACGGGATAGAACCGGCAACCTTGGCCTCTCGGGAGGACGCTCCAACGACCTGAGCTACCCAGCCAGGGCGCTGGGTTTGATGTTGGTTCTGGCAGTTGTTAACTGTGATTTGGGGCAAGTAAATTATTTTCCACTGTACCTCAGTGTACCCATTTGTAAAATGGGACAAGTAAGATAGGGCTATGAGGATGAAATGAGTTAATGATTGTAAAACTCCTCAACACAGTGTTTGGCACCTCAGAAGTTCTTAGCAAATGTTTACTGTTAAAGAAATATATGTGCATTTATTTATATATGCATGCATAGTTTATCTATAGTAGGATAGATAAGAAACTAGTAACTCTTAGCTCAGCAGAACTGCATAGTTGGGAACACAGAAGACTTTGCTAACAGCCTTTTGTGGCTTCAGTTTTAAACCATGTAAATGTACTACCTAATCAAAAAATAAGCTAAATTGTTATTGTTTAAAAAGAATTCACTTCTTAGAAATGCATTTTACTATTATTTTACTTTTAAGGTTTAACTCCTTAACAAAGTTTTGGCCTAAGTTACTTTGTTTTTTTATAGTTTATTGATATAGCTAGGTTATTTTCAGTTTTGGCAGAATAACCTTTGAGTTACCTGGTAAATGCTAAGCATTTTAGTACTGCCAGATGGAAACTTTGCTGCTCTTTTAAAATAAATACAAATTGACCAACCACTAATGATTTGTTTTGCCTCACCCAGCAAATTAAATATCCCCAAAAATTTATTCAGATTAAATTGAATGATGAGTGGAAAAAAGGATTATATACAAGAAAACTTAAAACAACCATTTTTAATTTTTTTTAACTTACTGATTTTTTGCGAGAGAGGAAGGAGGGGAGAAAAAGAGAAATATCGATTGTTTCACTTAATTATGCATTCATTGGTTGATTCTTATATGTGCCCTGACCGAGGATCGAACCCACAACCTTGGCGTATGGGGTGACTCTTTAACCAACTAAGCTATCTGGCCAGGCCTGGCATCTCTCTTTTTATTGGCATCCTTACTTAAGCTTTCCTGTGTTCTGGAGTGCATATTGTAAACATTTATACACTTCCTGGAAGATAAACTTTGGGATCATCCATGAAGTGTAATTTTACGTTGACATAGAGAAATTTGAAATGCTCCATAAAACGTACCTCTTATCCCTTGTCCCTGATTTTTACTTTTTGAATGGAGGGTATAGAATGGTGGGGGATAGGAAGGCAGAAGAGCTGGGCAATAGTATAGCTGTGTGGTAAGGCCGCAGTGCTCTGAGGCAGGCAGCAGCAAAGAGGGGTGGGGTGTGGAGGAATGAGGTTTATGGGAAAGCTTTCCAAAGGAGGTGACACTAAGGCCACATTTTGAGGTAGGAGGAAGAGTCCAGAGAAGAGGGAAAGGAAGTTTTAGGTAGAGATACTTGCATCTAGAAAAGCACAGATATGGAGACCCACTGGTTGAACTTCAGGGACTTTGGAATGGCTTTGGCACAGAGTAAGGATAATTGTAGTTAGGGGAGAAATGGGTGGAAAGATGGGCTAGGTCCAAATCAGCAATTTGTACTTTACCTGTAGGTGATGTATCCTGTTTAGTGTGAAAATCAGAGTTAGGAACTTTGGAAAGATCACTTGGAAAGTTTTGTGGGAGACAGGGCGTGACCAGAGACAAGCAAAGTCACTTCGACAGTTGTTACCATAGTTCAGGCCCAAGAAGAGGCACTGGACAAGGGGTGCCCTGGTGGGGATGGGGAGGGGAGATAGATTTGAAAGATATTCAGGAGGTGGAGTTGATAGGGCTTGAGGAGGTACAGGGTGAGTAACAGGAGACAAGGAGGTCAAGGCATTTGAATGAATGGAAGTTCATAAGTGAGTGAGAGAACAAGGAAGGAGAAACAGGTTTGGAAAAGAAAATGAGTTCTATTTGGGATAATGACTTAAAGGTGCGTATGGGACAGGGTATTCTGGTTGGCATTTGGGATTGTCAAGTTTCTAATCACTGGCAGTAAGTGCTAATGAGAACTTAAAGGTAGGGTTGTGGGTTTGGTTTTTTTTTTTTTGTTTGGTTGTTGTTTTTAAATCTTTATCTTACTCATCTTTCTCTTCCTCAGCACTAAGCACAGTGCTTTGTGTATAGGGTGTGTGTGGTGTGAGGCAGCATAGATCTCATCTCTTAAGATGTGATCCTGAATCTTGGGGAAGTAATTTCCCCTCTTAAGACCTGTTTCCCTTTTTGTTAGTGAGGGAGTTGAACCAGGTCAGTAATTCTCAAAGTTTTGTAATAGTCTGGTATGTCGGAATCAATTGTGAGGTATGGCAAGTAATTTTTAATTAAGAGCTGATGTTTCCTCGCCTTTTAAGTGAGACTTGATTTACGTCACTGTTCCTTAATTGCATTCCAGTCTATTTTCTTAAGTTTGACAGACAGGGGTGGAGTTTTAGTGAGTCAGCTGGAATTTCACAACTCTGGGCATACCAGTGGCTATGTTCCAAACAAAGGAGGCTGGGACTGGGGGGCGGGGAGGTAAATAAGGACTTACAACCACAAAATCCTGTTTATATCTAGGATATACCATCCTGATCATAAATCATTTTTATTTTTGCAACTCCAGGAACTCTATTTTAAGGAACTTTCAAAAAGAAAAAAACAAGTCATGGAGAAGAATGGGAATAACCGAAAGCTTCGGGTGTGCGTTGCTACTTGCAATCGTGCTGATTATTCTAAACTCGCACCAATCATGTTTGGCATTAAAACGGAACCAGAGTTCTTTGACCTTGATGTGGTGGTGCTTGGCTCTCACCTGATAGATGACTATGGGTAAGACGAAAGCTTTTTCTTATGATATTCTTCATTGCAACATGGTGTACTGGGGAGAACTTGGATCTAGGAACTATGTGGACCTAGCTTCAAATCCCAGTCCTACCACTTAGTTTTTATGTGGCCTTGAAGAATTTGCTTAGCATCTCTGAGCCTCAAATTCCTCAATTGTAAACTAGAGTGAAAACCTATGTTGTAGGTTATTGTGAAGAATGGAATGGTATAGAGGATTTGTCACAGGGATGTTGCTTAATAGATGCTTGATGCTTGTTATTACGTTCAGGAGAAATGGCACTTATGTATTGTGTGATATAATAATGTGATTCCATGTAATCTGTTTTGCGAGTTCTAATGTTAATTTTGCATTAAAACCGGTATATAGCTCAACAGTATATAAAATAGTAGGTATGAAACAAGACTTTAAAAATCTAATTGATTCACAAGGGAAGGTAGAATGTTATAGTACCATTACCATTGATATTTATTTTGATTGATCAAAATTGAAATAAGAAAAATGACAAGTTGGGAAATTTTTGAGAGAGCAGAATGAAAGGTGAACATTGTGTTGTATGTAATAAAGTAGCATTTAGTGCACCCTTGTGGCATGAAAACATTAATGCAACCTCCAAAGATGGTCAAAAACATAATATTAAATGTGAAAAAATCGTGTTAAAGAAAATAGTCTTTTTCAGACTGTTTAAAAACAAGATAATGACAGCAGCAAAAACCACATAAAAACTTGCCTCCAAAAACCAATTTAGTAATTCGGTTCTAACTTAGAGAATAAATTTATGGACAGCTCAAAATCTCATAACTTTTTAAAATGTGAAATGAATTCTGCCTAAGAAAATTCACTTCTTATATACATAGGGCAAAGTTAGGATGAGATAGAAAAGAAATGTTAGCCAGGGCTGGAAATGGAAGTCTAAGTGGATTATTTTACTTCTGTGAGAAAAGTTTGCAAATTGTGGTAAGTATCTTATCTGCCGACCACAATAACTAAGAGTGGAAAGGCAGTGTTTATCTAGTGAAACGGTTAAATAGGAAATTTGACTAAGCCTTAATGGAAATATATGTTTAAAGTACATTCTAACAGAAGAAATTGGTTGCTTCCTGGGAGAGGAACTAAATGACTGGGAAACAAAGTGAGAAGGTAATCTTTTCACTATAAAACCTTTTGTATCTTGAATTTTAAACCATGAGAGCATATTAACTATTTTAAGAAGACATTAAACCAACAGAAAAAATAAGCTACCTTTCTACCTCAACTGCTTGGATATTTTTTAAAAAGAGCATTTTTATACTTCTTTAGTTGGGCAAAAAAAGGAAAGGGAATAAAATGAATGAAGACTACTGAGAAACTCATTTGTTTATTTACTTAACAATTTTTTAAAGAAATAAAGAATGTTTCTAAAAATCCTCCAGGGCAGAGGTCAGCTTCCCGCACAACAAAGATCTCTCTGGCCCAAAATATCAATAGTGCTGAGGCTGAGACACCTGGCTCTAAGGTGTTCCTCCAACAAGAATGGGGGAAAAATGGACAGAGCAGCAGCCAAGATGGTAGAGCAGGTTAAAGCAGTACTCACATCCTCCCACAACCACATCAAAATTACCACTAAACGACAGAACAACCGTTATTCAGAATACCCTGAAATCTAGCTGAACAGGAGTCCTATTACAAAGGATATAAAGAGGAAGCCACATCCAGACTGGTAGGAGGGATGGAGATGAGGAATGGACTGGCCCCACATCCACGTGTGGCAGTTAAAATTGGGTGGGATATCTTGGCTGCTGAAGAGCAAGGAGCCCCAACCCCACATGAGCCCCCAGACTAGGGTTCCAGTGCTGGGAAGTGAAGTCCCCATAACTTCTGGCTGTGAAAACTACCTGGGACTGTGGCTGAGTAAGACAGAATGCTCCTGGAGTCCCAGGCATTTCTCTTAAAGATCCCCACGGACTTACTCAGACTTACTTGCTCCCAGTTCCAGAGCTGGGGCAGCAGCTAGAAAGGTGCCAGGGACATATGGGGGGAACTGAATGATCTAGCTTTAGGGCAAGGGTCTGAGGGGCAGCTGTGTCCCAGACAGAAGTGCTGGCAGAGGCTATTGTTCCTTTTCTGGGCCCTTCTTCCACAGAGCTGGCAGGCAGGCCCCATATCTGAGTCTCCATCACCCTAACACAGTTCATCCTGCCCTGGTGATTTTCTGAGCTTTGTCCCACCTAACTTGCAGGCCCACCCAAGATGTTTCCATTGACTTTTCCATGCGAATGGACTGTCTTGGCTCAGATGCAGACTTTCCTACAATCTCTCAAACAAACAGCATCTGGTCTTGGCATGCCTTGTACCTCTTGCTAAGTGGCCCCAGGCTCAGCACTAGCAGCAACCAGCCTTGGTGCAAGGAGTGGCTCCTTGCAGGCACCTCTGAGGCTAGTACAAGTAGCGGGCATTTGCAAATCACTTTGAAGCTCATCCTGGGGGACCTCTGGCAGTGCATAGGTGATTAATGACCTTGGCCTGCACCTCCTAGGAGGCCCCAGAGCCAGCATTCCTGGTGGACAGCTTCAGACCACACCAAAATACCCAACCACCTCCATGAGTGACATACTCAAGGGGCAGAATCAGCAGGCACCTCAGCCCTGTTGAAGTGAGTACGGCTCTGTGAGATTGGCTGCTGCACAGCAGATCCTCCAAGGTGATCATGGCCAATCCTTGCAGCAGATTGGCCTGAAGCCATTGACATGCCAACAGCAATCAAGGCTCAGCTACAACACGAGGATGCACATATCCTACATGGAGGGGTACACCTGGAGCACCCAGCTCGGGTAACTGGGGAGGCTGTGCCACTGGGCCCTACAGGACATCGACATAAGACCATGCTTCCAAGACTGGGAGATGTAGCAGCTCTGCCTAATACATAGAAACAAACACATGGATGCAGCCTAACTGAGGAGACAAAGAAACATGTCCCAAATGAAAGAACAAAATTCCAGAAAAAGAACTAAACAAAATGGAGACAAGTAACCTATCAGATAGAGAGTTCAAAACATGGGTTATAAGGATGCTCAATGAACTTAGGGGACTCAATGAGAACTTCATTAGACTTTAGTGAGATATTAGAACTTCAACAAAGAGATAGGAAACATGAAAAATGGAGATAGAAAACATTAAAAAGAACCAGTCAGAAATGAAGAGTACATGACAGGGAGTCAACATTAGAATAAATGAAGCAGAGGATCAAGTCAAGGATTTTGAAGATAAGCAGGCAGAAAACACCTAATCATAACAAGAAAAAAAAATTGTTTTAAATGAGGACAGATTAAGGAGCTCTGGGACAACTTCAAGCACACCAACATTTGCATCATAGGGGTGTCGAAAGGAGAAGAGAGACAGCAAGGAATTGAAAACCTTTTTGAAAAAATAACAGAAAACTTCCCTAACCTGGTGAAGAAGATAGACATACCAGTCCAAGAAGTGCAGAGAGTTCCAAACAAGATGAACCCAAAGAGGCCCATGCCAAGACACATCATAATTAAAATGCCAAAGATTAAAGACAGAGAATCCTAAAAACAGCAAGAGAAAAGCAGTTAGTTACTACAAAAGGAGCTACTACAAAGACTGTCAGCTGATGTATCAACAGAAACTTTGCAGGCCAGAAGAGATTGGCACAAAATATGCAAAATGATGTAAAGCACCAAGATTACTCAGCAAAGCTATCATTTAGAATAAAAGGACAGATAAAAAGCTTCCCAGACAAGAAAAAAACTAAAGGAGTTCATCCCCACCAAACCAGTATTACACTAAATGTTAAAGGGGACTTCTTTAAGAAGAGAGGAAAAAAGATAAATGTCAATAATGAAATGGCAGTAACTACACATCTAAGAACAATTACTTTAAATTGAAATGGATTCAATGCTCCAATCAAAGACATCTGATGACTGAATGGGTAAGAAAAAAAGACCCTTGCATATGCTGTCTACAAGAGACTTACTATAGATCTAAAGATACACAGATTGCAAGTAAAGGATAGAAAAAGGTATTGCATGAAAATCAAAATGGAAAAAAAAAACACCTGGAGTAGCAGTACTTCTACCAGCCAAAATAGACTTTAAAACAAAGGCTATAACAAGAGACAAGGTAGGACCCAGCAATACCACTTCTGGGTATTCGAAGAAACCCAAAACACTAAATCAAGAAGACATATACAACATCACAATTAAAATGAAACTATAAAATAACCGTCTTTCAGAACCATCAGAAGTCAAGCTGAATGGAAGCCTGACAACCATGGAATTAAAGAAAAAGCCACGCTGAGACTGGTAAGAGGAGAGGTGAAACAGGCTGGTCTCATCCCATGTGTGGTGAATAAAAATCAGGAGGGATATTTCAGGAGTGAGGGGACCAAGCCCCATACACAGGCTCCCAGACCAGGGTTCTAGCACCAGGAAGATCAGTCTACATAACTTCTGGCTGTGAAAGCAATGTGGACTGAGGCTGTGGAAGACAGAAACTTCTAGAGTCCCAGGCAGTTCCTTTCAAAGGGCTTGCCCTCAGACACATTCGCTCTGAGCTCTAGCCCAGGGGCAGTAGATTGAAAGGCATCAGAGACATATTGGGAGGAACTGAATTATCTGGCATCAAGGTGAGATCTGGGGGGCACCTTTCTCCCATACAGAAGTGCTAGCAGAGGCCATTGTTCCTTTTCTGAGCCCTTCCCACACAAAGCCACAGAGCTGGCAGGTGAGTGCCATATCCGAGACTATGTCAACCTGGCTCACACCGTTTGCCCTATCCTGCTGATTCCCTGAGACCCAGTCCCACTGAACTTTCAGGCCCACCCAAGCTGTTTCCAGTGGCTTTTCCATACAGATGGCTTGCCTTGGCCCATGCTTCAGATTTTCCTAAATTCTCTCAAACAGCATCTGGCTTCAGTGAGCCCCATACCTCTTGCTAAGATGCCCTAGGCCTGGCACTACTAGCAGCCAGCCTTGGTTCACACCTT